ATGCGATCTATCCTTCAACACTCGAGAGTATGATCACAGTGTAACATAGTGTATCACAATGTTCGGTTTCATTATTTTTGCTTGTTTTATCAAGGTGTATCACATGTTTTTATGGTTTGAGTTGGTATCACAGTATATCACAATGGGTATCACATTGTGTATATTTGTGATTAATTGGTACCTAACGGAATAATGTTGGCCGGAGGCCGGAAATTGGAGGTCGGAGAGAGGAGAGATGAGTTTTTTAAAGATACCTAAAATGCCCTCTAATTATAATTTTAACTTAAAATACCATAATTACTAATTTTCTTATTTATCCGTTGATTTGTGGTTAAGATTAGTTCTCACAGTTACCACAAACTAATCAGTTTTCCCTTGAATGGGCCCCTATATATATATGTATATATATATATATGGATAAGTTCTTTTGTTAACCCAATTTATGGTATTAACTTTGTAAACTCATCACAATCATTCATCGTATGAAGCAATGGATGACAATTATGATGACAATTTTGTAACAACTAATAATTTAATATATTATCATCTAAGATGGACATCCATGAACATGGGTATTATTGGAAAAGAAATTCATAAAGTTTGTAAATGCTCATTAATGACGTTAATGTTCATATGAACATTAATCAATTGTTATTAATAAAAAATTTTCCAACATCATGAACATTAATATATACATGGACATCTCGCCTATTTCAACATGGGTTCATTTATGGAAAATGTGATTATGTACATCAATATGAACAATATGATTATGTTTATCAATATGAACAATGTGATTATGTTCATTAATATTTGAAACAATGTTCACATATGTTCATTAATATTTGAACAATGTTCACATATGTTCACTTATGAATAAATGTTTACTCAGGTATAATTAAGAAATGCAACTGACAGTTAATTTACTTGTAATAAGTAAAAAATGTAACCGACAATTAATTTGCATGAAATATTCACAATGACAAGACATGGAATAATTAAGAAGTGTACCCCAAAATTAATTTGCGTTAAAATAAAAAAAATGAAAATTTTACCCTCATTAAATTAATTTGTCATGTGCATCAACCAAAAGTGTATCTTGTTCTCTAGTGGTTCATTGAGGTTTGTAAAGTTAACCCTTTTTAGTTGGTTAATAAAAGATCTTACCTCTCTCTCTCTATCTCTCTCTCTCTCTCTCTCTATATATATATATATATATATATATGTGTGTGTGTGTGTGTGTGTGTG